AGTGTTGGGGGGTACTTACTTTTTTTTTTTTTTTTTTTTTTTTATTTATTTACACATAGTGAGCCTGAAATAACTTCCTGTCCCTGGGTGGTTACACCCACTTACTCCTTTGTATTTATGAAGGGAGTCATGGTTGTCAATAGGATGCTTTTTCTGATTTGGACTACATATACATCTTCATCTCTATTACATTGGTGCAGGGGAATTAGTCATTTACAAAAGATGCCTAGAAAAGAAGATCGCATTGTTTGTGCTTTTTGTTCAGTTACCAGGAAGTGACGAGGACACTGCATTTTTGGGAAGATAAGCTGGTTATTTCTGTACTTGCTGAATGAAAACTAATGTAGCAGTCACATCTAAGGATTGATCATCTGTAATTAGGGATGCACCGATATATCGGCCGCCGAAACATATGGGCGGAAAATTGCACTTTTGGCTAAATGCTGAAACTGCCATTTTTGTGCAGCGCATTCCAGGTTTCTTTCCTCCTCGCTGGGCGCTGCTCTGTGTCCCAGCGGGGAGGACAGAAACTGTGACAGCCGACCGAGCGATGCGGGAGGAGAGCGCAGTGAGCGGCCGAAGTCTCTCCTCCCACACCGCTCAGCGTCGTGTCACAGTCCGACAGATCGGTGTGGGGGCGGATACAGCACGCGCTATCACAGGAGGCTGAGCTCTCCTCCCTGCCCCGCCCAGCCTCCTGTGACAGCGTGTCATGAACATTTTTGGTTATATAAGATGGTCAGAACGTGTCTGAAGGTTGATTTACTACTTGTTGAGAATTTATTTCTTCTAGACTTTTTACTATTGTACAAATGCCCAAATATGACTAACACTAACAAAAAATAAAAAATTGTCTTTAATGATTAAAGGAGAACTATGAGATGAGTGATTTCCACTCACCTCATAGTTCTAGCCGACCTGTGACAATGAGACTGTCACAGGTCGGCTTAGTAGATCGGGAGGTGAGCGAACACATACCGGGTTCGCTCACCTCTCGATCACCTCTCGATCCTGTCACGGCTCTCTGCCGTGACAGGGGGAGTGGCTGGATTCCCCTCTCCCCGCTCCGATCTGCCAGCGCTGACTGGCAGAACGGATGGGGGAGGGGGCGGGTACAGCTGGCTCTGCCTCTAGATAGGCAGAGCCAGCTGTCACTCACGCAGCTGGGTGGATCCTGACGTCCAGGTCGGGATCCGCTCCGGCTGCGGCGTCTCAGTATACCGCGAGCTGTAGCTCGCGGTATACTGAGCTTAGGGTAACGGGAGGACTCTAGTTTGTGTCCTCCCGTTACCCTAAGGAGAACTATGGGGAAAAACACTGACCCCATAGTTCTCTAAGTCCTATTGTGCGTATAAAGGGGTAACTTAAAGCAGGTTGGTCAATATTGTCTATTTTTATTTGCTCTCTGCAGAAAAGCTTAAATAAACAATTTGGGACTGATGAGTACTCTGCTGCACGGAAGGAAGTCCTCACCAACATGTGCTCCAAGCCGATGCAGGTAAGGCAGATTACACAATGTCCTTTCACCTATAAATAGATGTTTTTTTCATTTGCTAGGCATGGAGGTCAGTGACAAAGGTCTTCCTATATGAAATAAAGCCTTTGTTCAGAAATCTCTTGTGTCTGACATGACAGTGTTTTTCCATTGGACATGTAGCATTTTCCAGCTTAAAGGTTATTATGGTGGTGGTTTTGATTAAAGTCTGCCATATTAATGATTTTAAAACAAATGGGGAATCCTTTTCTAGTTTAGTGGAAACTTAACTTCATATATAACATTATTCCATTTTTATTTTTAAAAAGTTGCTCTGTGACCAAAATGTTTTCATTTTGAGTGGTGAGGTAGAATTTGAACCTCCTGTCAGGTTTCTTGCTTTTTGTGTCCCAACTGGGGAGATTTCAGGAAGTCATGGAAAATCTCTTTTAATGGCGATGCATACCAAAAAAGTAAAACTTGTTGCATGTAGAAGGGTTTAGTACCTTGGGAATTTGTATTGGTCTCTGTTCCTCCCTTTTAAAGTGATACCTATTGTCCCTCTTTTCAAAGAGCTGACAGCACTTCAAGCACGAAACATTAGATAACGCCAGAATACACAATAGCACACAATGCATGTTTGGGGACATTGCCTGCTTCTTTAGTAATGCATTGTGGTGCCATTCAAAATGAATGACACCACAACGTAGCCTACCACAATTTGTGTGAATGGTCCCTGAAAAGTTGAGGGAGATCCTTACAGTGGACTCACAACTACTGAAATTCTAACCCTTTTCCACTGTTTGGGGAAAAGAGGTTTCTTAATCATACAGTACAGGACACAGGATCCTAACTCTGTATTCCTAACCCTGGATTTTGTCCATCTACCTCCTTCTTCCTTTTTTTTTACCTCCCAAGGCATGGTTTTGTTTTCCTTTTCTTCAGGATCCCACTAGCAAATTAGCTACTTCGCAGCCTTAACAGCTTTCCAGATCAGTTGACTCCTCAGTTAAGCCTTGGGGGACCATACCTTAACCCTGCTGGCAAGAAGATGTGGAGTCGATCTGTAATGTTGCTTTTGGCATTGAATCCTGCTTGGATGCTCACCTTGACCCATCGGTAACCCCATTGAGTTAGCAGCAGGGTACTATACAGATACAGGGCCATGGTCCATCAGCAGAGTCGTGTCCCTGAACCACTTTGGGGTATGCTCACCATGATGGGTGAAGCCAGAATAGGGTTTTGTCACTAATTTTCTGCTCCAGGAAGAAATCATCTTTCAGTGGTTAGTCCTGTGCTATTGTGCCCTTAGCGTGAAGGTTGTGAGTTCCCTTTTGGGCATTGCACATGGCAGATTATAGGTGCAAGAGTGCACAGTCATGGATTTTACTATCTCACATTCATATAACTGCTCGGGGGGAGTGACATTCTATCTGCTAGGGGCCCTAGTCACCTCAGCTATGCCCACAGTCAGACTCTCTCCCTTCCTCTAAGGCCTCCATTGCTCCATCGGATGCACACCCCTTCTAGTTATCCAGAGAGGAGCTCTCCTTCACCATGTCTGACGTATTGGGTAGGATCCTTTTTAGGGCTGTGAATTGAAGCGGTCACCAACATGCCCCTTCAGCCTCTCACAGCTGCTGGAAGAGAGTGAGAAAAGAGCATCCGCTTCTGAGGAGTCTGTTAAGAAGAACATGCTCTCTGAGGTGATCCTTCCAAAACTTAAGGATCCCATTGTTACTTGTGTTGATGCGCTGTGCTCATGCCTGGTGTTAGAGGCCTAAGCCAGCCCACCCTAAGGTCTTCATCCTGGGTTCCCTAGAAACAGCCAAATCTTGCTCTGCTTCACTCTCGGGTAATCCATGTTGTAGAATATTTAAACAATCTCCTCCTGAAAAATCAGTTGGCCCAGGTTCTGTTGGCCAGTGGGTGGTGAAGAGCAGGGATGCCCATTAGGTCGATTGCAATCTACCAGTCAATCACAAAGCTAACCCTAGTAGATTGTGATCACAAGTCAGCTCGCTGTCCCTGTTTCTTCTATGGAGAAAGCTGTTTTCTGTATTTCTCCACATGACCTGACGGTGGTGCTAAACACACTCTCTGCACCGCCACAGCCCAGGCACTCTACTGTAATCCTCCTGGCTGATAGCACCAGGAAGGCACACTGCGCCACGAAGTGGAAGAGCAGAGTGGTCACAGTTACCTTCAGCTGCAGCTTCTCCATGCCGACTATGCATGTCTGAATGGTTCCAAGTATTTGTGGTCCCAGGAAGGGAAAGGAAGGGGGTCTACTCACATCAGGGAGGCTCCTTAGAAACCTGGCTATTGATGGGAGCCACTGCAATAACAGAAGTCATTAAAAAAGGATCCAGTGCTGAAAGGAAGAGACTGAAGTAAACAAATGAACAGACAAGATAACATGCATGTCTGGCTATGTGATGACAACTTTAATCAGTTGGGTTTTATGCAACTTTAGGAGTACCCTAAAGTAAACCTGTGCATTGGCAGATGGCTCCACCAGAAGCTTATGTACACCTTTCCTTTGCTCCCCTGCTGCTCCGATCTGGCAGACACTCGCTGTCGGAATACAATAGCCTCGTCCATCCACGTTGTTTAGTGTGAATGGAGAAATCTATTTGTGTATGATTGTCTGTGACTTTGAGTTTGCATGGGGCTTCCTCTCCACACCTATCTTTGGGTTGCAGATCTTTAACATGGAAAGACCTAGTTAAAGGGCATTTAAGCAGCTGTGGTGTCCGATGAGCAGTTTTGGCCTGTTTCAAGGTTGCCAGACAGAGGCTATGGTCCGCTGAGGAACGGTCTCCGATCTGGGCCATTCCTCTGTCATTTGCACCACATGGGTTCAGCTTTGATTTAGCAGTAACTTTCTGCAGTGTCATGTTGAGAGGCCTAGGTAGGACCTTGTCAGGCAGCAATTTAATAAGAAAGCGTTGAATGCCTTTTGTACGTGGCTCCTGTGTAGAGGGAGGAAATTTGCATTTAGGCATAGGCTAAAAAGAGTAGCTCGGAAGGGAAAAGTCCATATAAAAATCCTAAGGACTGCAAAGCTCACTAATGCATGTCCTCGCGCCTCCATTTTCAGTCACACCTCCTACTTATAAATGTTTAAACAGAATTTTTGTTTTGAATGAAATGCAGTTTTGAGTTGAATAAAGCCTAATATAAATTCCTCTTCTCTTCCCATTTATGTAGATGGCAGTATATTTCTGTACTGGAGCCCTTAGGGATGAGAGCCTTTTCCATCATTATGCACTCAATGTCCCTCTATACACTCATTTCACTTCTCCTATAAGACGCTTTGCTGACATTATTGTTCATCGTCTCCTTGCATCGTCTCTTGGTGAGTATACCTTAATGATGGAAAGCTGCAAAGCAGTGACTGCATTCCTATATCTTCATGGTATACAATAAGCATAAAAACTGTTAGAGTACATGTGCTTTGCCCATGTTGGTAAAAACAGGTTAATTTTAATAATGGCCCACACCGCTGCTTGTATTGGCCTTCCTTTCCCTCTCTTGCTGCTTCGTTTACCAAGGAAAGTGAAATTGCATACCTAGTACTTTTGTTTATAGGGGGCACAGGACTCGCTTTCCCCTCTCTCTCTCTCGATAATGCTAGTGCTTGGCTTTTGGCTTCTTAGGCACTAGGACATCAAGAGTTGGAACATGAACATGGCTTCTTATCACTATAGAAAGCAGAGGAGTAAAGAGAAAGGTAGGTATAAATAGGCACGGGGATGGCATTAAAATCAACCTGTTTCTCTTCCGTTCATTGAAGGACACAGGGAACAGATCTAGGATCATGTACTGTAGGGTAATATCGCCACCTGCAGGAGAAGAACGCTGGGCACAAAACTAAAGACCAATTACAGCCTAGGGGCGGCCCCTGCTGGTGGCCAAACCCCCCACCTGCTGACAAGTCTCCAGTTTTTTGCCTTGCGTCAGGAGTAAGGAGCTTAGAATTTTTTCTCGGGTATTCTTACCTGCTTCTTTCTGATCTTTTTCAGAGGGATCTTCTAGCAAGTGTTGTCAGGGCGACAGGCTGGATGTCTCGGATCCTTGGAGTCTCCCCTGGACAACCGTCGGAACGCATGCAGTCCCGCTACGATGGGTCGGCTGCGACGACCCCGCTTCGGCGGGGTGGCCTGTGGGTTCATCCCAGGGGGGTGCATATGACTGGGGGTCCCGGCCGCCCAGTCACAGTACTCCCCATGGGCTCCTGGCGCCGCAACTGCGGTCGGGGGCGCCTCTTCCATAGCGTCTGCGCGTCTGGGCTTCTGTGTCTCCTGGCCAGCCTGGATGACGGCGCCTAGACTGCGGATGACCCGCGTCCTCTCCTGTGAGTATATGTGACGCTGCGTGTGACTCGTGGTGGGGGTTGGGGTGAGTTTGGAGGCCATGTCTGGACTCGGGCCGTCCCAGATCCTCCGGCCGCGCGTGAGCCGGGGCCGCTAATCGAGCCCCGGCTTCTGTTGCGGCCTTCTTCGGAGGCCGTGGCCGCTATTTTTGTTTTGGGCTATGGCGCCCTCTTCCTGACGTCACTTCCGGCGCGTCGCTCCTTGGTCCCTGTGATAGCGCGTCAGCCGGCTGGATCGGTCTTTCACGCCGGGACGCGATCGGGTGAGGACGCACTGGGACACTGGGAGTCAGGTGCTGTAGGAGGGTCGTCTGCCTGCCGGGGACAGTTGCTGGGGCAACTGCTGTGGGGGCTGTGCTTGCTGGGGTCTCTCTATTTGCCGGCTGGCTCTAAATTGGCAGTTATTGCCTGGCCATGGATTGTGGGGATGGACTAGCCGCAGTGCCCTGTGAGGGCTGCAGCCTCTCTTCAGGGACATCTCCCATGTTGCCCCTTTGCACGGCCTGTACTTCTGCGTCCCTTTCCCAGTCTCCCCTGCTGCCTGCGGGTTCTTTGGGTGGGGGGTCCACTGGCGCAGCTTTGTCATTAGAGGTTTTTTCGTCCACTATGGACAGTTTTGTGTCCCGTATTGAGCGCACACTGACGCAGCGCACTCCACTGAAGCATGCCTTGCCGGCCCCCTCCCCTGTCCTTTCTGGGGATTCAGAGGAAGAGGGGGAAATTTCTGCCGCATCCGCGCAGCCCGACCAGCGAGATTCCTCCCAGCCGGACTCTGGTAGTGACGACGAGTCGGGGGCCTCCCTTATGGTCCAGGAGCGCGAACTGGTCACAGCCTTGGTTCGGGAAACGCTAAAAATTGAAGAGACCCCGAGCTCTTCGGCGCTCCCGCCGGTTCAGTTTGGGACGCACAAGAGTAGACGTTCCACTAAGGTTTTTCCTTACGTTCCTTTTTTTGATGATTTTGTCTACAAAGAATGGAAGCGTCCGAGCAAGTCGTTTTCCATCCCCAAACGCTTCTCGGTTCGTTACCCGTTTGAGGAGTCCTTCCTGTCTAAGTGGATCCACCGGTCTCCTGCCTGAACAAGGCTACAGTTATCCCAGTTATCTCCTAGACCTTGACTGAATGGGCGAAGATGCTGCGTCAGGGTCTTGCGGAAGAAAACGTGTCGCCTGCTTATGTCGTCCTGGCGGAACAGTTGGTGCAGGGTCTGCAATACGTGTGTAATGCGGCTTTGGATGCGGCTCCGTTGGTTTCCAAGCTGCCGGTGTCGGCGGTTACTCTTAGGCGACTCCTTTGGCTTAAATGCTGGTCAGCTGACAAGGCTTTCAAGAAGGCCCTGACGGAGCTCCCCTTTACGCGGGATCGTCTATTCGGTGCTACCTTGGACGAGATCATTAAGGATCAGACGGGCGGGAAGAGTACCTTCTGCCTCAGTCGTAAAAGCCTAGGGACCACCGGCGGAAACCTGGTCCCTCCTTTTCGCTCACAAGCGGCTTTTACGTCCGCCCTCGGAGAAGGGCGGGGAGTTCGGCAAACCGCCGCCTTCACAGGCCGCCAAGCGGCCCTTGCAGCCCAGGACTGCCAAGCCCCAGGGTAAGCCTCCCTCGGCATGAAGGCCTGCCCCCATCCCGGGATTCCAGGGTGGGGGGACGTCTTCGGCTCTTTGCGGGCCGCTGGCTGTCCCGTGTCTCCGACACCTGGGTGTGGGAATTGTTGTCTTCGGGCTACAAAATCGAGTTTCTGTCGCGTCCCGGGGACAGATTCTTTCCTTCCAACATCCTTCTTCCTTCTCAGCGCCTGGCGGACCTTCGCGGCGCGGTGGCGGGTCTTTTGTCCCAAGGGGTGGTGGTTCCTGTGCCCTCCTCGAAAAGGTTCAGAGGGTTTTATTCAAACCTGTTTATAGTGCCGAAGAAGGATGGGGTTCGTCCCATCCTGGACCTCAAGCGGTTGAACACCTTTTTGTGCGCGTTCGCAGGTTCCAGATGTCTCCATCAGGGGGACTTCATGGCCTCCCTCGACATCAAGGATGCCTACCTTCACATTCCAGTCTGTACCTCCCACCAACGCTACCTTCGCTTTGTGGTGGGGTCGATCATTACCAGTTTGTGGCCCTGCCCTTCGGTCTGGCGTCGGCGCCTCGTGTGTTCACCAAAGTGTTGGTCCCAATTCTGGCCCTGTTGCGTTGTCGGGGGATTTCGGTGCTGGGGTACCTGGACGACCTGCTGAAGGCGGAGTCGCATTCCACTCTGGTGGCGGATCTGGCGATCACCGTTTGGTCATTGGAGGAGTTCGGCTGGCTTCTGAACTTCCAGAAGTCTTGCCTGGTACCTTCCACTCGGTTGGAGTATCTGGGGTTGATTCTGGACTCTGCCTTCCTGCCCCCGGAGAAGCTTCGCTCGCACGTGACGCTGTTGCGGGCGCGTCAGTGGTCGACTATCCATTTCTGCATGCAGGTCCTGGGCCTCATGGTGGCTTCCTTCGAAGCAGTGCCTTACGCACAGCATCACACGCTGGTGCTGCAGCGCACCATCTTGTCGCTGTGGGACAAGTCCCCCTCGTCTCTGGACCAGGCGGTTCAGTTGTCTCGGGAAGCAAGGGTCTCCCTGGTCTGGTGGCTTTGGTCCCCCGCTCTGGTGTTGGGCAAGTCCTTCTGTTGGGCTGGGGGGGGCGTCCTGGACGTTTGGACGACTCAGGGCCTTGGTCGGCGAAGGAGTCTCGGCTCTCGATCAACGTGCTGGAACTTCGGGCGATCCGCCTCTCCCTTCTTCATTGGACGGGTCGTCTTCAGGGTCGGCCGGTCCGGGTTCAGTCGGACAATGTAAACCATACATAAACCATTAGGTCGGCACAAGAAGTGTGGCCGCGGCTCGGGAAGTGGAAATAATCCTCTCCTGGGCGGAGGAGCATGTTCCGGCTCTCTGCCGTGTACATTCCGGGCGTGGAAAATTGTCGGTGGATCCGGGGGAATGGATGTTGCATCCGGAGGTGTTTCACCAGCTTTGCATTCGCTGGGGGTTCCCGGACGTGTATCTCCTGGCGTCTCGCCTCAATCGGTGGGTCGATCGGTTTATGGCGGATGCGGTGGATGCCCTGGTGGCTCCGTGGGATTGCTACGGTCTGATTTACACATTTCCTCCGCTATATCTGTTGCCGCGTCTTCTTCGCAGGGTCGCGGTGGAAGGCGTCCCGGTAATCCACGTGGCTCCGGATTGGCCACGGAGGGCGTGGTTCGCAGATGTGGTTCGGTTGGTGGCGGATGTCCCGTGGCGCCTGCCACTTCGTCTGGATCTTCTGTCTCGGTCCAGTGTTCCATCCATCTTTACCGTCGCTGGCTTTGACGGCGTGGCTGTTGAGAGCCAGGTGTTGAGGGATTGTGGCCTCTAAGATGCGGTTATCTCTACGATGTTGCGGGCTCGCAAACCTGTGTCTCGGAGGATTTACCATCGCACGTGGAAGACTTATTTTGCCTGGTGTGAGTCAGCGGGTGTCCGCCTCGTGTGTTTTCCGTGTCCAGGATCCTCTCTTTTTTGCAGCTTGGTGTGGATCAGGGTTTGGCCTTGAGTACGATCAAGGGCCAGGTTTCGGCCTTGACTGTCCTCTTTCAGCGGCCGATAGCCTCCAATGCTTTGGTGCGCACTTTTGTACAGGGGGTTACTCGTATCGTTCCTCCTGTTCACTCCCCATTGCCGCCGTGGGATTTAAATTTGGTGTTGTCGGTGTTGCAGGAATCTCCCTTTGAGCCCCTGCGTGAGATTCCGATTCTGACTCTGTCCCAAAAGGTGGTCTTTTTGGTGGCGGTCACCTCGGTCCGCAGGGTTTCGGAATTGGCGTTTCTCTTGTTCGTCCCCTTTGCTGGTTCTGCATCGGGACAAGGTGGTTCTGCGGCCTCGGCCGTCCTTTTTGCCGAAGGGGGTTTCGGCTTTCCATCTCAATGAGGACATTGTCTTGCCTTCCTTGTGTCCGAAGCCTGTTCACAGGAAGGAGAAGGCGCTGCACTGTCTGGACGTGGTCCGCGCCATCCGGGTTTATCTGAGTGCTACGGCTTCTTTTCGGGAATCGGATTCCCTGTTTGTTGTTGCGGATGGTCCTCGTAAGGGCTGGGCTGCCTCGTCGGCCTCGATGGATTCGCAACACGGTTTCTCAGGCATATGCTACTAAGGGGCGTGAGCCACCTTTTTCTGTTAAGGCCCATTCTACAAGGGCTGTTGGGGCATCTTGGGCTTTTCGTCATGGTGCCTCCGTTTCTCAGGTTTGTAAGGCCGCGACTTGGTCTTCTGTTCACACCTTTGCCAAGTTCTATAAGGTGGATGTTTTGGCGTCTGTGGATGCTGGTTTGGGGAGCAAAGTGTTGCAGGCGGCCGTTTGAGGGGATTTTTGTGTTCAGTTGGGTTTGTTGTTTCTTTTGGCCCACCCCTCTTTTGGTACTGCTCTGTGACGTCCCTACAGTACATGATCCTAGATCTGTTCCCTGTGTCCTTTAATGAACGGAAAAGAAAATAGGATTTTGGTACTCACCGTAAAATCCTTTTCTCTCCGTTCATTGAAGGACACAGGTCCTGCCCCTCTGTGTGGGTGTGTGCTCCTAACTGCTTGTTACTAACTGGAGACTTGTCAGCAGGTGGGGGGTTTGGCCACCAGCAGGGGCTGCCCCTAGGCTGTAATTGGTCTTTAGTTTTGTGCCTAGCGTCCTTCTCCAGCAGGTGGCGATATTACCCTACATCCTAGATCCTAGATCTGTTCCCTGTGTCCTTCAATGAACGGAGAGAAAAGGATTTTACGGTGAGTACCAAAATCCTATTTTTACCCAACATGAGCAAGGCACAGGTTCTCTTTGGAATGAACAGTAATCACATGGCATCTTAATTAGAATTTCTGAATAACACGTAAACACCTCATACAATATCTTATGTTCTACAGTTACAACAGTACCAACAAGCATTCTAACAAAAAAAAAAAAAAAAACTGCTACCAAATGGGGGACCAGACACACCTTCTATCCAGGCCAGATCCAGATCTCAGTCCTTGCCTGAATGTGAAGTAACTTTCAGAACCAGAATTGGTCTGTTACAGCTGAGTCCAGGAACTAGCAATCTTTTATTGAAAACAAAATCAAGAGACCAGCAGTACCCTACAGAACACCTTGATGCATTTCTCACATCAGTTCTTACTCAGAGGGCTTTTTATAGTGTTCTGCTGGCTTCTTGACATCCTTTTAAATAAAGGCTTGCTGGTTTCTGAACCTGGCTGTTGCAGATTTTCTGTATCTGTGAAAGTATTCTAAGCAGATTATTAACTAGTACTACAGTATAATTATCACCAACCTTTAGCACTTTAACATTACCGGATTGATTCAGGCTAATATATTCTTAAAATCAATAAACTTAAACGTGATAGGTCATCATAAGTCACTTATTTTCAAATTTTAGGGGGTTCGAGCAGTAGACTGACCCCTGTTGCAATATTCTATCATGTTTCTTTTGTAATATTTAAATAAATTGTTGCGAAATAAACATTGTAATATATCTCATATATACTTGAGATGAGCAAAACGATGTACGTTCATCAGTCTAATTACATTAAAATGTTGAAGCATGATAAATTACCTACACACCGTTGCTTTTTTTATGCTTTTTGGTATGTGCCTATAACAATTACATTTTTAACAATTACATTTTTCTGTATGACATCTGTAGAACTGCCCATATACTGTCTCTTTATCAGCTGCAAGCATATGGTGCATATACAGTTACAGCATACACACAGATACAGCCCTGATGATCTTATTTTCCATACCAGCAGTTTGAAATGTATCTAGATATCTCATGTCTTTGTGAATCAGACAGACCGAAATATTTGAATTATTGGCTAAGAAGGTCTAAAACTTCTCAAATGATCTACATTTTTAAGGGAACATTAAGAGGTTAAGGTAATGGCTGTCACGAAGGACATGTGTACACAGGCATGTGCATTTCTCCATTTCTTCTCCATCCTTTTATGATTGGCTGTCCCAGTGATCACACGATCAGAAGCCTGTCCCCATAACCAGTGACCGGGAGCTCGGCCACTGAACTGGGAGTGCCATATAAGGAAGCTCTCAGCACAAAACAGCATTGACAGCTGTACACATATATACATGCGGGCAGCATAAATTAGTTATACACGTCTGTGCAAGCCCGTGTTGGTGATAAGATACTAATTGACAGTTGAGCCTGTCACACTTAAATTTATACAGGGCCCCTTTTACTGGCCCGTAGAAGCAATCTGGCGGCAGCTGAGCTGCCAGAATAGCTTCTACTGTAAAGCCAACATTCAGCTTTACAAGTGTAAACCGAGTTTTTGCCGCCGGGAGTCTGTTTAAACGGGTCCAATGCCAGTGACGTACACTGTACGTCACTGGTCATAAAGGGGTTAAAAGTATCTTTTGCTATGCAATAATGGCTTTATGGGATTACCACGGGTGCATATTTACATACAGAGTCCAAATATATTTATAAAGCATACATTTAATGAATGGTTTGTATATATTTAACATAATATAAATACTTTTTCTTTATTCGTATTGCTAATCATCTATAATGTGTTTTTTAGGCTGTGGTCCAAAGCTAAAATTGCCACAGGAAGCTATCCAGAAGCAAGCAGACAATTGTAATGATAGAAAGACTGCATCCAAAAGAGTGCAGGAACTTAGTGCTGAGCTATTCTTCTCGGTGTTTGTAAAGGTGAGTCTTGGAACATTCTGCATTGTACATCGGAGCATTCAAGAAGTGGCCAAATGCAACCACATACAGCTTGGATCTGTATATTTATATATGCATTCATATATTAAGTAATGTATGTTCTCATAGCTCCTGTTTTTATGTCTTTACAGGAAAGTGGCCCCTTGGAGTCAGAGGCAATGGTCATGGGGGTGTTGAATGAGGCCTTTGATGTTTTGGTGCTGAGATACGGTGTCCAGAAGCGGATCTATTGTAATGTAAGTTTGACCATTTACACATGAAATAAAGTACTAGAAAATGGAATAAAAATAGTGTTGTTGTCTACATAGTAGGATTTGTGCATAATACTGAAAGGCCTGGTTTGTGGACAAGAACTGAACAACCTATTTTCTTGCTGTTCATGCAGGTTTAAAATGCAAGAAAAACCTGTATATGGTGATTATGGGCAACTCGGGCATTTCTTCCACTAAACATTTCATACATGGCATATACTGTGCTGTATTGTCTATTATGGGAGGTCTAATCACAGTGTTGACTTGTGTCTTCCAGGCCCTGCCTCTAGCAAGCTCTAATTTCCAGCAAGTGGGTAAGAAGCCTGAGCTGACTTTATTGTGGAAACCGGAAAAAGATGGAGATGAGCCAGTGCCACAGGTAAAATGATTATGCTTATAATAACACACACACACACACACACACACACACACACACACACACACACACACACTATATGGGATGCACCTATACAGAGTATTTGGGCAAGTGCTCGTACTCACCCGAATGCGACAATACCTTCCCCGATACCGGAACTTCCAGTCAGAGGGAGATTTCCTCTGACCTGCAGTTCCATGAGGGAACATAGATCTGGCTTCCCGGGCCAATCAGGAAGGTGGCGGGGGGTCACTCACAAATCACCGTTTGAAACGGTCAGGGATATTTCCCTTTCAGTGCTCACTCACAACGTTGTTTTCTGAACTGGTGACTTTGTCCTGTAAAGCTCTTTTGGTCTTCCACAAGGATACGGTGTCCTCATTGTTTGAATGTAGTTCAAGCTGCTTGTGTCTACCTCACAGCCACTGCCAATGTTAGAAATACTTTGTCATCCCTGATGGCTCCTATTAGGGGGAACTAGCTTCTCGTTCCACCATTTCTTGACGCCTCAGGCGGATCATTTGGCCTAGGGTTTTAAGAATCAGGTTCCACCCTTTCCTGTCGAGGTGCACGCTACTAGATCTGTGAGTGCATGTCCAAATCCTCCTGTGGGCAGCAGTGTAGCGAAATGTCTCTGAATCCCATGTCCCCATCCCATGAACATGAAGAGAAGGATTTTACAGCGCGTACAAAAATCCTGTTTTCCCTTTTCTTTTACAGGTAATTAGCATCTTTACTTTGGTGGAGGTGGTTTTGAAGTCAGAAAATGTACCTTTGAAGTATACAGCGGTTTTGAAGAGACCGGGGGCCACAGACTGAGTAGTGGACGAAAAAAACAAACAAAGATGACTTCTCAGGGCGACGAGTGAAGATGTCTTTGCTGCTGTGTCATTCTGTCATTTACAGATGTAACATTTAACTCCCAAAGCAGCACTGAAATATTTTTATAGCAGTGTCAGTATGTATTCATTTGCAATGGTATGTTTCCACCCAGAAACTGTCACTTGTTTTTTAATTTTTTTAAATTAATTTTTATCTAAGCCTCCTGGATACTGGGCTGAATCCCTCAGACCAAGAGTTTTCAACCTTTGGGGCTCTCTGGACATCTGACAGGCCACTATTATTCTTCCATGGTAGCTAGACTGCTCCATGTTCCTAGTGAGGCCTAAAGCTGTCTTAGACATATTGGGTTATGGTTTTTATTTTAGCTGAGAAATGATTATTTGCCACGTTTTCTCCTATAGCCCATGAAAGTTACACAAAGTGATTTGCGATAAAGAAATGAACATATCCCATTTTTAGCTTTGTTTTGTACAGTATTTTATTTTATAAGTTGGGCAGTGGCCAAAGTGACTAGCCCAGATTTTAACCATATGTTTACATCTTAATCAATTTATTTTGCACTATTGAATTACACGTGCTCACGTGTGTGTGTTTTTGTGTGTGGTGTTGCCAATATTGCAGTTAAAAAATAAACCACCTGCCACGTGAGACTGAATTTACAGACTGCAAGTTATATATAAGAGATGGACATTTAATTTGCTGTTATACATTTCTTTTTATCTGAAATTTTTATCTGACTGGCCATTTATTTAGTTTATAGGACATAGCTGGGATATTTGTAGGGACAGTATGGTTTTGCATTCCAGGCCTGTGGTGGATATAGCTTTTACATCCATTAAGTGTGATGGTACATAGGTGGTGGTCATTCTAGCAGCACAAGTGCCATGTGAATGCAGTATGTTTTCAGAAATTATTATTTTGGGTGTAGGTCATAAAAGAAGGAATGAAAAAACATGATCTATTAAATGCATTAAAACCAAAGCAATTGAATTAATTTATTACATTGCCTGAACCCATAGCAACCATTTACATTCTTGGCATTACAGGAGAATTCAAGTGAGAATTGGTTGCTGTGTTGTAGTCTAGACTGGGAAAGTTCTTCCAACATGCATGGTGTTAGTGAAGAGCAATTGCCTTTTAATTTGAGTGCTATATGTGATTAGACTTGTGTTTTCACTAACATGCTCCCACCTAAAATATGTAACTTGCTGTGGAGTTATAATACAACTGTAGCTAAGATCTGGTCTGTTGACTGATATGTTATCCACCGTTCAATAAAGTGATCTGCTCTGTGCATTTTTGTCTCCATATCTTATTTTTTTCCACACACCCACTGAATTGCACCTAAAGTATTTCTGATAGGTATTTAATGTTACACACTTAAGTTATCGAACTGTTCATTTTCAGAGTAATCTTTTAAAGACCATAGTTTGCATGCAACATTACATAACTGTATTGTTATGATGTGATTGCCAAGAACCACAATCTAGTTGAGCAGAAGAATAATGAAACATCAATATCAAAAGATAAGCACCACCACATAAACAGTTCTCAGCTAGTGTTCAGAGCTAAAGACCTAAGCTCTAGGCTGGATACCTTAGCTCCCTTTATTTTTGCAGGGAATTTTACTCTTTATTTTTTCTTCCACTTAAAGACCTGCTAACAACATCTGAGCTGGGTGGCAGGCTGGATAATATAGAGCCTTGTAGTCCCCCCAGCTCAGCCAGCAAGCACATGCAATGTATTGCTATGTGCAGGTTTGGCTGTAATGGCCCTATCCTGGATCCAAAGGCAGTCTGTCAGACACTTCACAGGGTACACATATGACTGAGTGACTTGATGCTATGTCACAGTGTGGTCCCCCAACCTTCTCCAGGTAGATATTGCCCCTGCTCAGGCAGAACATGTCCCAGGAGGGAACCCCGTTTTCATGATATCAGGATGCTTTGTGCACTTACATGGCTGTTGTGTTTCTATATGGGCTTGCAGCAGGTCCACCCAGCACTACAACCATTCTGGGTACAGCTAGTACTCTGACTTTCTTTATGGGTCTTCTCTGTACTTTGTGCAACCTGGCTGTGTGTTTTACTGTGAATATGGGCAAACACTGGTGCCCATGTTATGAAAGGGCAAATGATGTGTGGGTGGGTACTGGTTGATGTCATGCAGTGCGCCCTTTCACTGTTAATGGGGATCAGGGTTTCTCTGCCTGGCAGTGAGACTGCTCACTATAAAGAGGACCCACTGTGCCATGAAGCATTCAGGATGCAGTAAGTCTATTTGGCCATGCTTTCCTCCTTGATTGTGGCAGTACCTTTGTTTTTTCTGCTGCTCACCCTGTGGTTCTGCCTGAGGGCCCCCAGGAGGTGGATGCTCCCCCCTGGAAATATAATTGGGATTGATGTCCCCATCTGATTTGGACCTTACCTGTCCCACTGCATATCTAAGTTGCGCAGTCCTCTCTATCTCTGAGACACCCTGCTTTGCTTTTTTTGCATTTCACTAATGAATGCTATCGCCTATCTTGAGTCCCTACAGTCTTTGGTAGCTCCATCAGCTGTGGCCTCTTCCTAGTCTTTCTCCCAGGAGGGTATTTTGCCGCAGTTATATGTGATTTGTGTAACGGGCCATGGAACTACTTTCTTTGAGCATTCTGCTGCCTTACTGCGAAGACTTTTCTGACTTAGTTTCACCAATCCACACCTGATATTTTTCCTGAGGAGTCAGTTGCCATAGTTCCCCACTTGGAGGGTCAACCCTTACTGCTGTCTGCCACCTCGAGTTAGAGCACACTGTAGCTTTGCAAGACTTCAATGGGTTTAGGATTCCTTGGAGCCCTGAGACTACTAAAACTGTTCCGATACATATGCTACTCCCAGGGGTCGCCTACAGGGACTGGAAAACTCCGGTTAGACATTTCAGTCCTGGAAAATTATTTGCATCCGATTATTAAGGAATCCATTATCAGCAGTGGACTGTTCCCGCTGTTGATCCAGCAGTGCTCAGTCTTGATACAGTACTGATGATTACTGTAAAGGATGCGCCAGGGCTTAAGGATCTCCTAGCTAAACTCTCAGTTTTGTTTTTTGAGACAGCCCTACTTCGCAACTTAACAAAGCAGGGTTGCTTTTAATTTTTTTAAGAAGTATGTGGTGCATGCTCTTCAAGGTACAACATTTCTTTGGAGCTGCTTCTGACACTTTCTTGATGGATGTCACTATGTTACTAGACGTAAGAGTACTCTTCTTCCCAGCCAAAGTAGCCTAGGTCTCCCTCAAGCTGGGAAGTTCCCCCTTCCTGCCACTTGTTTTTTTGACGCTACGAAAGGTTCCTTTTCAATATCCAAAGTTTCATCCTCCAAGGCCAGACCTAAGCCTGTAGTGTACCTAATTGAGAACTCTGGGTCTCTAAATTTCCAAGATTGGCAGCCTAGTCCTCTTCGGCCTGTAAGGAATACCCCGCTTTCAATAAGGGGACATCTATTTAGGTTAGGGGCCTGGGTATGTGATGTGTTTTCCCGGGGCTGCAAGCTAGAGTTCCTCTTTCTGCCTCCCACTTGCTCTTGTTTTCTCGCCTTCGCACAGCCTAGCAGATCTTCATGTAGCTTGCAGATCTTTTGGATCTAGGAGTTCTTGCATATATTCAAGGTTCTTTATACGAACTTTACTGTTACCAATTAAATGGGGGTATCTGACTGGTCTTGAATCTACAGGCCCTAGATGTCTTCATACGGAGCAATGCTGCAATCCCCTAGATCTGACAATAACCCCTTTTCATCAGGGATATGTTCTGGCCTCTATGTTCCTATACTCGCATGTTCCATTTTTTTTCCAGCACCTCTACGCTTACTTCACTTTGCAAGTTCTAGCATTCCAGTTTGTGGCCCGCCATTTGGCTGGTCTTCTGCACCCCAAGTGATCACCTAGGCGCTATGTGTTCTCAATGTGATATATCACATTTTGAGGGATGGCATGAGTTCCAACAAGGTGATGTGGATGATGCACATTGGATCTGACCCATCACTTCGTGCATCTGGGGCTTGTCCTAGACACAGCTCAAGTCTGATTTTTTTATTTTTTTTCCTTCCCAAGTAGTACTTTAAGTTTTACCCTGCCTGACTCGACCTCTGTGGTCCAGTAGCAGTCCAATTCTGTTTTATGTGTGAGAGTTCTGGTCCTAGTAGTAGCCTCCATTGTGGCAGTTCCACTGGCTCAGTTATGCTCTGGCCTCTGCAACGTCACATTCTGTCATTGTCTGACAGGTCAGTTGTTGAAGGAATCCTGATTCCCATTCAACATTCTGGAGCTTCAAATGATTTGGTTGTCCCTTCAATTCTGGATCTTGCAATTTTATCTGGATTCAATCTTACAAAGTCACTGCCGTTGCATACCTCTGCCATCAGGGAGGGACCATTGGTCTTGCCGTAGGAAAGAGGTCATAAGGATCTGTCTTGGGCTGGACTTTCTTTTCCAGCCTTTTCCACAGTTTACACTCCAGGGATGGGCTATTGGTAGGCAGGCTATCTCTGCCATAAGAGTCCGTTGTGGGTTGGGCCCTACACCAGTGATGATTCATGACCTGGCCAGTGGTAGAACCTAATGACTTGCAGGGTTAACTATGTCCTGCACAGGATTACCTCAGGTACATGGGTCCCCTGAAAAAAGGAGTGGATGTTCCGGGTAACTCCATGAGATCTATACAACCTGATCTATGCCCTTCCATACCCCAGATCACTTTATCTCATCGGCCCCACAGGATTGAGCGAGAGGGAGTTTAGCAATTCTCATAGCTTCATGGGACTTCAGCCTAATCAGTCTCCTTGTACATGTTCTGTGGGTTTTTCCTGACCATTTGGATCTTAAGTCCCAAGGACCATGTTTACCATCCTGCTTCCTGTTTGCTTGCTTTGACAATATGGTTGCTGAAGTCCAGGTCTTGGGAGATGAGTCTTTCTGGTTTGGTGATTCCCACGTTGT